AGGTCAGGGCTTTAATGCATGTGTGTGTGTCCCGCAGGAGGACAGGGCTGAAGGGCATGTGTAGGCGCCGCCACCCCTGTGAGGGCTCCTAGGGGCGCTGCTGCATGTAGCAGGGCTCCTGGCGCTGCCACCGCCCCTGGGGGCCCCTGCCGCCTGTGCGTGGACTTCTGGGGAGTAAGAGTCCTTCACCGCAACGTCTTTGAGGGTGCGGTAATCCACACGGCACTGCATTGAGCCTCTTTCTTCCTCACTGGGACGATTCCTGACGCCCACGTACTGCTGGACTTCTCGATGAGACCTTGGTGAATAAGGCCCCATACCGCCTTCTCCATTTCCTGGCAACAAGCTGGTTGGTGCTATCCTCCAAGGCGGCTGCTTGATTGGGCGGTGATCCCCGGTGTCAATGTGATGCTGTACCAGGTTTGTACACCTCAGGTCTAAGTCCCCTGCAGACAAGACGTCCATATACTTTAATAACAACTGTTCCAGTTGTATCACTTGAGCCTCATCCAGGCACTGGGAGCTCCTGGCAAACAAGTCCTGCAAATGGTCAAGCTGACCATTTTTCTGCTTGACCATGCTCCTCTTGCAGGTCTTGGGCTGCTGCTCCTGGTTGACCTCTTGGCACAGTCCAACGGTCACTCCCTTTTGTATCTTCTTTGGTCGGAAAGAGAAATTGGCCACAATTACAGATACCTCCTCTGCAGAAGGATCGGCGAAAATTCTCCCCGCCATCACTCCATCTTCGACTCCACACTGCTCATCGGGCTCCACCATTCCCAGACGGGTATGCAAGGCACCGTTCACCTTGTATGGCAACAGCACCTCTGATCTTGGGGTGTAACTACTGTCCGCCTAGCTGTAACCTTAGCACTTGCATGCTTCACAGTCTTCAGCGAAACCCACTTTTCCTTGATTTTCAAATGCATCGAGCCAAGGTCCAGTTGACACTTGCGAGGTAGGAGGTAGTCCAGGCCCAGAATGCAAGAGTCTTCTATATCCGCTACATAAACCTGTAGGGTTTCTTCTTCCTCTCCGAGCTTGATGGTGATATTCACTGGTCCCTTTAGCATTGTGCAGTGTCCGGTTATCCCGCACAGCTGCTGCAACGTCTCGGGTAGTTTTCGATGACTAACCACGTCCGGCCTCGTAAAAGTCTGCTTGTGTCGATCACCGACGGACACCTTACGCCATCGATCTCTCCTTCAACCTGGACACTGCTTACAGTGGCTCGGTTGCATTTTGTCAACAGTGGGGCTCTGGTGAGACAGGCTGGTTGTTGCTCCTCAACACCAGCCATCTCTAGTTTCCCCATCTTAGTGGGCTGCTCTTCTTCCCCCCTCTTGGAATTCTGTGGGTACTTAGTCTTGAAATGTCCATCTTCTCCACACGTCCAACAACCTCTCTCTCTGCATTGCCTTTCTCTCGCTCCCGCTTGTAACAATCCTCCTGTTTGTGTCCAATCTTCTCACAATACCAGCAGGTTCCTTTAAATCTCTCTGTTACTTGTACTTGACCCTTTCGTGCTTTAAACCCGGAGCTAGACACCGTCCTGATGCTTGGTAAACTTAACCTCACATACAATTCAAACTCCAGGGCTTTAGCCAAAGCTTGCTGTAGAGTTAACGGTTGGGACTGCTTCACCTGAATTTTGAGATGCGTGCTGTCCAATGCGTCCACAAACTGGTCCCTCAACAACACGACTAACAGAACAGGAAATGTTCTAGGGTATGCCCTATGAGCCATACTTTCCAGGTCCTGAGCAAGCTGTTGCAGTGTTTCACCTTGATTATGGGTACGAGTACGAATCTGCCCCTGTAAACCTCATTTTGGTGCTTGGTTCCATACCTTCGTTCCAGGACCTTTACTAGCGACTTGTAACTGATTCGCTCTTCTCCTGTCAACTGGCTGAGAACCTCCATAGCCGCGCCCAGTGTCGGATTTACAAAAGGACCATTTGGGCCATCGCCCTGGTCCCCAAAGATACAAGGGGCCATTTAAAAAAATTAATGTACTGTATTATAAAAATTTCATATTTCACCATAATTCTGTGTACAAAAGCTACGGTGACCCCTGTTACCCATCCAAGCTCAACCTTATATTTTGATATCTGTATCATTATGAAATATGCCAGTTACCGGTACACAAATAATGAAATGTAAACGAACACTGAATGTCTTATTCAATTTAAGTGTCATGGTCGATGATAGTGTGTGGGGTGTGCACCTGAAGAAAGAAAATAAAGGCAACATGGTAGTT